ACGGTTTAGGATAGGGTTTAGGGTTTAGTCTCCATTATAGTTCCTTTAACCATATATATATATATATATGTATTAACGACTTTCATAAGGTATCCCCAGAAAGGAACTACAATGGAGACTATAGGAAGTTCTCATAAAACTGCGAAGGATGGCGATGTAGGGTTTAGGCTTTAAGTTTAGGGTATAGGATTATGTCTTGATATAGGGTTTAGGGTTCAGGGTGCAGGTTTATATCATGTACACCATGTCAAGCTGTCAACGAATCATGACTACTTTCCTTCAACACCTCTAAGAAACCTATATGCACTAGACTCCGCAGCACATGTACTTCTATCGCCCTAGTTAAGCTGCAAAGACCAAACTGTAAACTTTATCGAGCCTGCAATTCTGAGCCTATTAAACCGTCGTTGCTGGTGCATTGCTCACCTTGAAGGTATGGCACCACCACGCAGAAAGCCTCGGGTACGGAATGGGCGCCCCGTGTGATCAAGGTTCCGCAATGGGAGGTGGTACGCATGAACATATAAGAGGAAGCAGTACGGCCCATTCTCTCTAAACAAGCACTAAACTATAGTATACGTTGAAGACTCCAATGTTTGTTTTGGCTGCAGTTTTCCAGGGTGCAAAGCAACTGGACGATCCTTTGGAAAAGAGCTGGCTGTGGGTCCCGAAACGGTACCTTAGGTTGTGGGGACGGCTGAAAGTATCATCAGGGTGTGTGTTTTGTTCGGGACTCGGGCTTGTGGCTGCCATTGTGAGAGAGTGTTTCTAGGGCGAGAGCCTTTGTTGTTTCGTAGCAGAAAGACGACCCTGAACCCTAAACCCCTAAAGCCCTAAATCCTAAACCCTAAACCCACGAAGCCTGCACTGCCCTTCACATGCGCGCACTTGACAGTGGCTAGCAGGCATGGTCGGTATCGGACCTCAAGATATGGGGGTTTCCGAAAATTGGGGTACCTTATTTTGGGGTCCTTATAATAAGGATCCTACTATTTAGGGTACTATATTAGGGTCCCGTATTTTCGGAAACCCCCATATACTTGTCAGAACGCCTGTATGCCTGTAGCATGAGCTTTGCGTTTTTCATGCGTATCTGTAGGACTGTAGGTTGAGGTTGCTGTCAACAAGTTTCGCCGCCAGGGAAGCGTGACGAGTGCTGCCCAGGACACCCTCATGCGCCCCAGCCAGGAAATTCAGGGTTTATAATTATAGAACCCTATCATAGATCCCTTATAGAGCCCTTTAAGGGTCCCTTAAAAGGAACCCTATTCCAATTATTCAATTTTGTGCCGGTGGCTCAGGGTTTAGGGTGTAAATGGGTTTAAGGGCTCGTAGGGTTTAGGGTCTAGGGCCTCTCAGGGAGTCCGCAAAGTTTCTCCTTGGAGCCTTGAGACTTCGCTTGCACCATCCTGTGTTCTTTTGTCCGTGGGTCCTTCGTATCTTGGGGGGAAGATATGCCACAATACAGCGGGCCTGCGGGCTGGGCTTGTGGCTTAAGAGTAGGTTTTGTTTGTCATGCCAGTTTATTTTTGCATGTTTTTTTTTGCTTTTGGGAGGAGTCGACATGCAGAGGTTCAGCTTTCTGCCCACGTGAAGAGAAGATGACCACGACCCAGTGCAGTAGCGTGATGGGACCCAAAGCTGTGACTAAACACTGCTGCCCCGAAACTGCCAACGGCAGCATCAGCATCTTACAACAACGCAAGCGTTGCAGTTGTCGTTAACAAACCACAACCGTTGTAACGCCGATTGGAAGCAGTAGAACTGTCTTGGTGTTGTTGCCAATGGCCTGGATTGAGCACTGATTGGTCCTTAGAGATGAGTATCGGAGGGTGCGGGATTTTGAGGCGTGTCGAGTCTTCGTCTATGGTTGAGGGTTGTGTCGTTGAGAGGATGTTGGATTCTATTGGGTCCTGTACCAGGACGACGGCTCTGCGGGACTAGAGTGAAGGGGATGAACGCCTAAGGATGTTGGAGCGAGGATGCTTTAGATCCTGACTCTCCATACACCTTCCAGCAAGGTACCGGGATCAAGATGGCATCCGGTCCTTCATGCTGGACGATGACGGATGCGAGACTTTGCCGAAGAAAGCATAAATTGAAATGCCCTAAGAACCTAACCCCACACTGTTGCTGTCTGTGTCGTCCTGGTCGTACTATCGTGGTTGGCGCGGTCGTGGTCAAGAAGTCGTCGGGGCGCTCTATCATTGTGCCACTGGTAGATTTATTATGCAGTTGGCACTGCAACGGTTTTCATGGCTGTGACTTTGACAATTCACCGCGCAAGGACTGCCATTCGACACTGTCGATGGGCCACTCGATGTGCAACAGCGGCTGCAGCGACACCTATGGCCGCGTGGCTTCGATTTGGGGGTTTCCCAAAAATTAGGGTACCTTATTTTGGGGTCCTTATAATAAGGGTCCTACTATTTAGGGTACTATGTTAGGGTCTCCTATTTTCGGAAACCCCCATTTAGTTGAGGCCCCAAGCGAGGACACGTCGCCCAGGAAGCTGAGCTTCTCCTACACCTCAGACCCTCCATCACTTGCTGATTCCCCAAAGGGTCCTAGGTACTGTTATGGGGGATACTTCCCCAAATCATAATGGTAATTCCTAATCTAGAAACCCTACATTCTACCATATAGGTACTTAGGATCCTTTGGGTTCAATATCATCCATAGCCTTTTGCATCAACTTTGGGTATTTAGCCCGTTCCGGAGTGCGGAGGATTGAGTCAAGGTTCATGTGATACTGTTTAGGGTGAGCTCCCTAAACCCTAAACCTTAAACCGAGCTTCTTCGAGAAGAAAGCTTGAGTTTTCAAGCTCCTGGGATCTGGGCCTTGTTGGAAGTAGCGTCGCTTTACTCGGTGTCTTGTGGTCTAAACCCTAAACCCTAAACCCTAAACCCTAAAACCCTGAACCCTAAAAGCTCTAAACCCTAAACCCTGAACCTTTTCAGCAGCAAGCCATTGGAGCAGTCAGTTACCCAGGCTTAGGGGCTAAGGTTTTTGGAGTTTTTGTTGTAGAGCTCTCAGCGTTAAACCCCAAGAGCCCTAAAGTCTTAATTCCAAGAGAGATGACGGCCCTTCCTCCCAGGCAACTGCATGATCACTGGTGGTGTGGACAAGCTCTCCGCCACCTGGCGACAGCTTCAGAGCAAGAACATCTTCGGCGGAAAAACTTCGAAGGAGTAGTATAATATGTTGCCTCAGAACCCTCTTGAAACTTCTTATGAGACCCCACATATTATCACGTATTGCCTAGGTTCAAACAGACGCATCTAGAAGCCTTGAACCTCCTTGCGGACTTGAGGCAACGGCACCGCCTCCGCAGCCCAACCAAAGCCTGTCCCGACCGCATGACTGCTTGGAGATTCATGGATAGTTAGAAGTGGGGTTTTAAGTCCCCTAATATGAGTCATAAGTATAGTTACCCTACTTATAACCCCATTTATAACTACCCATGAACCCTAAACCCTAAACCCTAAACCCTAAACCCTAAACCCTAACCCTATTTATAGCTACCCATGAACCCCCAAGCATGACTGTCGCTGAGGACACACAGGTCACTGGTACGGAGGGCTCTGGTTCCGCCTGCACAGGACAGCTTAAGGGACTAAACTCTAGACCTGAGGAGGTGTAGGCTTCAGGGCATCTTTGCATGTTAGAGTCAGGTACTTTAAACATACATATATTATCTATATATATATATATAGATATGAAGCGTATATACATATATATATATATCTATGTATATTTCTTTATTTGTTTATGTGTTTATTTATTTGTACACACACACACACATCGTTCTTCGGAATTTGTTTTTATACATAGTACTGTCAAGCCTTTGAGACCGGGAGTCTGAAGCTCTGCCGCCGAGTAGGCGTCTGATATAGGTGCCTAGATAACTACCAACGCTATTTTGAGTTTAGGGTTTAGGGTTTAGGGTTTAGGGGGGGTTCCTTAGGGCTTTATCTGGGTTCTTGCTAAGAAGTTTAGATGAAGTTACCATAATATAGGTGCCTGAATAACTACCAATACTATTTTAGGGGGTTCCTTCTCATAGATGCCTATAGTCTCCGTTGTAGTTCCTTTTGGGGGATACCTTATAAAATCCTTATTATATACTTGGTTAAACCTAAAAAATGAACTACAATCGAGACTATAGATAAAATATAATATACCCCCAGAGCCCTATTTTAATAATCAAGTGGTTGTATTTTATAGAGTTTTGGCCCCTGGGACGGGATCACTGCGCCTACTTGTGCCTGTTGCTGCTTCTTTTGTGGTGGAGTTCGGGGGGAAATGAGTCTGGCTTATGCAGAATCATCTCATATCACATCATACCATACCAGGTCACATCATATCATATCACAGCATGTCATATCATATCTTATCATATCAGGTAAGGTCATATCATACCGTACCATGGCATGCCATATGGTATCATCCCGTCTCAGATCACATCAAAACATAGCATATCACACTCACACTGTGTCAAATAATGTCATACTATCATGGTCTTACGATGTTTCCATCTATTTTGTGGAACTCCGTTCCGTGTAGCAGGTGTGGGAATTTCGGCATGTTAGCCAATGCTTCTTTCTGTCAGCAACTTGCCGGCTCTGAGCCTCTCGAGGCCGCAAGCGACCAGCGTATCCCAGACTCGAGTTTGAAGCGCCCGAATAACTAGAATAGGGTTTTGGGGCCCATTATACTAAATCTAGAATAAGGAGCCCCCAAAATAGTATGGGTAATTACTGAGACCCCCTATCTTAAAGACAAACACAACATGCCGTCAACAAACGCAAGCAGAACCCTGTTTCCTGCGGCAGGCGCGCTACTTTCGGCATACACGTCTCTTTCGAAGGGTCCAACTGGGGGCTTAGGATTTCGGCTCAAGGATAAACCTGAAACCCCACAGCCGAAATCCAGAATCCAGGACCAGCCACAGACTACGGCCTCACCCTCTACTACCATGCTCCATGACGAGGCTCTTGTGTGTTTAGGGTTTTAGGGGTTTTACCTATAGTCTCCATTGTAGTTCCTTTTGGGGATACCTTCTAAAATCGTTTATATATACACTATACACACATATATGGTAAAACCAAAAAAAGGAACTACAATGGAGACTATAGGTAGGGCTTCGGGGATGTTTCCTTACGGTTCAAGTCCCGACGTTGTCGACATAGGATTGATGGACAAAATCCTGCATGAC